AATTATGGAAGCTGGATTCAGCAGTTTTGATTACTGAATGAAAGGGTGTGTGTAAATGGGAGGGAAAAATGGAAGCGACAAGACTGTTGGAGACTAAAAAAACACAGTCATGAGAAATTTGATACAGTTTCACTGTAGGGTGTTATCTGGGGGATATTTATAACTTTTTAACCAATCACTAAGGAGAATTTAATCAAAACTATCCTTCAAAAGCTAGACCCGAAGAAGTTGACGTTTTTTTCCTTTCTTTTTAAGAAGCTACTTTGTTTCCTTAAATGGAAAGTTTTCTCTGGTATATCTTATTTTAGAATCTCTGACTTTATCTTCTCTTTTTTTCCCATTTAGAAAAAAAATTAGAACTGTTGACTAATTTGTGATTTTTTTTTTGCTATTTCTGGGCACATTTAGATTGGCCATTAGTGTCAGATGCTAAAGGTGGTGATTCTAAAGGAAAAGGAATGGAGTCACGTGTCCCTAAAACCTGCAGCAGTGCTCAAAGATGAACTGAAGGAGAGGCAAGAGGGGGCAGGGGAGTGGGGGTGGAGGAGGACAAAATCTGAGAGTAGAAGCAGATAAAATGACGTGAAGACTAGAGTTGCCATCTGCTGGAGGATGGGAAGAATGACATTTGACACTCAACTATTTGCAAGAGCAAAGCTAAGCTCATTAGTCAAAACAGTAAATCTCCAAGTACCACGTACTGCCAGTTAAAGGATAAAAAAAAAAATTGGGAAGGGGGTGTGATTATTTCAGCCTGGGAGTTTCTGAATAATGTAGGAAATATATGGGGGAAGTCGAACAATAGCAAACTCTTCCCCTCCCTTGCACCCTGCATGCTCTTAAAAGGGATGATGAATATCGCGTTATACTCTCAAATGCCAGCTTGTTCCTTCATCATGTATTTCTCACTTTTACCACTGCGACTTGGAAAATAAAATTGATGATGGGGTTTCTTCTATAAGTATGCCTAGTCATTGCTTCCAGATTTTCTTTCTGCTTATGTAACATGGCCCAAATGCATGAAGCTCACTTGAGTTCACTAGAAAGAGCACTGGACTGGGAGTCAGGAGGGACAGGTGGATAATCTCAGTTTACCCACCAGCTACCAGTGGATTTGTAAGCCAGTCACTTCATTACTCTGGACCTCGGTATTTTAAGCTGTAAAATTATAAATGATGTGGAGGATGGGTGACAGGGTTTAAATGATCTCTGAGGTCCCTTTTAGCTCTCAGATTCTGCGAATCTGTAAGCATTCCAAACTCCTGTAGCACTTGTAACATGAATATTCAGTCTAAATTCTCATCATCACTTCTGCTGAATGCAGCAAAACAGTATCTAATGGTTGATTAATCAGCCAAAACCATCTTCTTTATCAATGAAAGGAAAAATGTTTTCCCCCTTTTCATAGTGTAGAGAAAGAGTCAGTTACTTAAACTTGCTTTCTCCAATATTGTTCTTGTTACAGCAGTACCAGGGAACCAAGTTCCCTGATGAGGAAAGGAAAACAGCTTTAAGAACCACAGAGTTAGGACAGCAAGAAACCTCGAAGATCAGAAGTGGAACCTTGAGATTCAGAGACTCATCCATACTGGTTTGGGGCCAAAATGGATTAGGTCCTGCAACTGGCCAATTCTTCCTAACCTGAAACACATCTATCCTTCTTTTCGAAGCTCTAAATCCTGCAAACCTACAGCATCCAAGTCAGATGTCCTTTCCTCCTGGAGTGACTCCTCCCTCCTCTGGAAACACCAGTGGTTAAGATTTGAATCCCTCACTTAGCAAGGAACATAGACAGCTTTTCATTCATGTATTCATTTGACAACTATTTAATGAACAAATTCTTGATGCCTTGCATTGTTTTATGTGGAACAGGAGAGTTAAGACCTATTTTCATGGAAGATTATATTCTAATGGGAGATGGGGAGAAACATATCTAAATAGGAAAATACCCAATCGTAGTGCGTGCCCTGGAAGGTCATTAGAACAAGGTGGTGTGAAAATGATCTGAAGCCTTTTTCAAACTGAGTGTTGATGAGGACTTCTCTGAGGAAGCGCCTGCTAAGTGGCAAGGAGATGGCTCTTCCTGAAACGGCAGATTTTGGCATTTGGGGGAGAAATCAGAGGAAGAAGGGAGGTGGGAAATAAAATCAACAAGAGGGGTAGAGATTTGCAAATGTTAACCTCTCTATATAAAAATAGATAAAAAACAAATGTCTTCTGTATAGCACAGGGGATTATATTCAATGTCTTGTAATAAACTTTTAATGAAAAAATATGAAAATACAAAATGTATATTATATATATAATATATATATATGCATGACTGGGACATTGTGCTATATACCAGAAACTGATACATTGTAACTGACTATACTTAAATTTTTTTAAAAACAGAGGGATAGTGGCAAAGGATGAGGTGAGGGAGGTGGGCAAAATCTGGATGATTGGGGACCTCAAGGTCATGTTGAGAAATGTAGATTTGATTCCAAGCATTCTGGAGAACAAAGCAAAGAACTGCGATCTCTTTGCAGCTAAATCAGTCTTCCCCACCTCCAAGGGTTGACATCTTACTTTAAAAAATATGTATTTTTTAAATATCTCACATCTCCTAGGTGGCCGAAACCTTTGCACATAGAAGGCTTTTAAGTAAAGAGCTGCTGATTGGCTGACTGGTTGGGTAATAACAACATGAAATGTATCTCAGTGAATACCTTGAGTAAAGACTTCAGCCCAGGACAGTCAGAGGTCAGGGTGACTGCAGCCCTCACCTCCAATCCAGAGGAAGGCTGAGGAAACGCGCTCAGCCTGGAGGCAGCTGCCCTCACACACGGCCTATGACTCGCAGCCCAGACGCCTGACAATGCCTCAC